AGTCTTGTGTTTTTGAGTGTGTATAAATTAGCCTTTTGAAGTCAGTTGATAAGCTGGTGACGCTGTAAAGAAAGCTTTTTCTGTAACAGCGGTTTGTAAATTTGAGTGTGTGCTGTTTGTATTCTCTTGTCATGTCTGTCTGCATATAAAAAGTTAAAATGCCAAAAGATTTGTGACGAGGGAAGCTCCTCATATCCTTCATCTCTTGCTTCCCGTCATGCCTTTGTTTCATTTTTACGTGTTTGTTTGTTGTTGTTTTTTTTTTACGACGTTTCTGTTTTTAGTATCTGTAATGTATAACATTAAATTTTTGTCCGTGCAGTTCATCATGTGTGTTGTAATTTTTCATTTTGTTTCCATCCATCATCACCGTTTTCATATCACAGTACAAGGAGACATACGTTTCTATATTTTTCCTACGAGACAAACCCAGAATCAGTCCCTCCCTGTGTGTCTGCTCACCCAGTGCTGACTCACTGTTCTCTGTGTGGTGTGTCTCTGTGCCTGCGTCCCTCCACCAACACTAGGAGGAGAAGTGTCTGGACTTTGCTCTGTCCTGCACTGGCTGATTAGCCGCTGTTAGAGCAAAGAAAAGTGAGCCTTGAGCTTGGTAAGCCTGTATAGAGAAAGGGAGAGTGAGTGCAGACAGCCTGTGGCCGCCGTTGTCTTTGCATGCCCCTTTGCTTGGCTGCTTTACTCCCGCATGGCTTTAACCATGGCCAATGTTAAATGCATTGACGTGTATAATTGATCACAGTAAAGGGTGCATAGTTACGGATCAAACAACTCTCTTGTGCTAGCCATCAGACCGTTCAAAGACTGATAAAAACAACTGTAGGAAGATCATTCAGAGGTCAGTGAAACATAATGACAGCCATTAAACCAGCTTCTTAAGGAATGAACTGCAGGGCTTTAACAGTGCTTAGAGATTTCCCACGTATGTATAATTTTTAGGTTTAGGGGTGGAAACACTGTTGAAATATACCCACATGGTGACAGCACATTTTCTCGACCCTAAATTATACGTAACGTATAAACTTTGAATACAAACTAGCATATGGAGAAAGAAAATGGTTTAGCATTTAAATTAAAAATTTTCCAGAGCTTATGCTGTTAAAATTCATTCATTTGTCAGACTAATTTAGATTCAAGGCTAAAGACATTTTGAAGCGAATTCGGGTGAATAGTTGCATTTAAAAAGTGCCCAAAGCAACATTTTATACTAAGAAATGATCAGTTCATGTTGGTTGCTCATAGTATCAAATATTATCACCAAACTGAACTTCCAGTCAGTTCTGTGCAGTTTAACGGCTCCTTTCAGCTCACTCTTTTGGTTTTACTGGTCTTCGTTTGGCCGAGCTAACTGCTACTTTCTATTTTCATTGTGTGTTAAATTGCTTTAGTAATAAAATGTACTTTTTAAAAGTACATTTGTATGCTTATAAAGATCCCAGCCAATCTCTGTTTAATTCGGTGTTTTTTATTTGGCGTCAGTTTAAAGCAAAGCATCTCAAGGCAGGTATGTTTATAAGGTAAAGGCTGTGTAACGTTACAGAGTGGGATAAAAACATCTGCCAACAAGCAGAAAGAAGTCAGGTTCAGGGTCTGCTGCTGTACTTGTAAACATTTACTGTTTTGAGCTACTGAACCTTTAATCTCAGTTCAGATCAACTTGGATGTGTCAGCTTGAAAATGTAAACTGTTAAATTGCAAAGAACCCACCACACAAATGCACGCTTGATAATGGATGCATTAACAGAGCCAATGCATCCAATCACTTCCTTTTAGCCAGCTTGTCCCAGTGGTCACTCATTGTATTACAGACAAGAGTTTTTCACATAAACCACAATTAGAAAAGTTTATAAAGCATTTACTGAAGACCACTGACTCTTAACAATGCTAGGTTTTATCATTTTGGTCGGGACTTCTTCGTCTGCAGATGGTTTAAAAAGCATAGAAGATGTTTGTTAAACTTCAACATCTCCCAGAAGAATCTTACAGTTTGTGATCTCAGTGTAAAGCCGGACCTGAGTCTGATCCTTTGGGCAAGCCTGCAGGGATAGTGATATGGAGTTCTCTTTAATGGATCCAGCATGACACGTAAGAAGCATCCACACTGGAAGAACTAGCAGTGATGATACCGTAAAAGATGGACTTATCTTCCTGATCTGAGAAATGAAGCCTTTAGGAGGACGTGAAAAACTACACGTAAAAAGGC